CCTAAATTGAAGTTGCATGGGAGCATGCTTTATTTGCGTGTGATAGACCAGTTTTGTCCAACCTTGGCCTCTTTAAGATGAGTGGACTTCAACTCCAAGAATCCCCCCAGCCAGTGAAACAGGGAATCTATCACAGGCAAATACAGCATGCTCCCATGCAACTTCAATTTAGGATTGACTTCTGCCAATTAAGTGTTGGTCAAACAGAGAATGTAGCCAAGGCCTTCAGTATCATGGTACCAGGATAAAGGGAAACAAATTTCAGCACTGTAGGTTCATAATTCATGTTTTGCAATGATTCTGACAGACTTAATTAATATTCTTATTGCTAATGGATTAACTTGAATTGTTACGTGATTTTTATATTAAAATTTTACAAAGTTGTAGCTACATCTCATCAATATTTTGAAAGTGGCTGGTCATCTGCAAGAACTTTTTTGTGTGAAATAGTTCCTGTGCATTTCAACATGCAGAATCCTTTTAGCTATAACAATTGTTTGAGAGTTCCTAAATGCTTTGAATACTTGCTTCTCTTTTTTCCCCTGCCTCCCTTTAGATTAGCAGACAGCGGACTCCTCTTGGATTGCATAAACACTGTGAGAAGTGTTTCAGCAAATACTGCCAAGCTCCAGCAGAGCCTACAATCTCATGTGTAGTGATCAGTTGCCGCTTTCACTGTGGTGCTGTGCTCCAGCAGAGCCTACAATCTCATGTGTAGTGATCAGTTGCCGCTTTCACTGTGGTGCTGTGCTCCAGCAGAGCCTACAATCTCATGTGTAGTGATCAGTTGCCGCTTTCACTGTGGTGCTGTGCTCCAGCAGAGCCTACAATCTCATGTGTAGTGATCAGTTGCCGCTTTCACTGTGGTGCTGTCTTTCATATGTGCAAAGAGGATGATCATAAACTCCTGTGTCCTCTGGAAGAGGTCTCATGCCTTAACTCTATTTATGGTTGCCCTTTTACAATGGCCCGTTTTAAGGTGGCAAAACATCTCCAAGTTTGCCCTGCCAGCATAGTTTCCTGTTCTATGGAATGGAACCGTTGGCCGTGCGCAGATTCTGAAGCCATTCTGCATGAGAATATTATGAAGCAACAGTCGAAGGAAGAGTGCCTGGATGTGGCGATAGCTCTGAGAGATCAGGCAGTTCTCTTTAAAGCACTCAAAATGGCCGAGCTCTTCCCAGAATGCAGAGAGACTTGTACCCAGGAAGAAACAACAACTGATCTTGACTATTTTGAAGAAATAGCTATTGGAGGAAGAGCTGAGCAGACCACAGCAAATGAAGATGAGGCAGCTGTGCTTACCCAGCAGGATCGTGAGAATCTGGCAAAAGATAAAGAAGGGATGGATTTGATTGGTTACAAATCCTGGGAAAATATGTTTAGTAAAGAATTTAGGGCTTGCCAAGTAGCAGACCTGTCGACTGACCATACAAAAAATGCATCTGAAAGCGGATCTCTGCATAGAGAATGTGCTTCTGGTAGCCCTGTGGAAGAAACTAGCAGTACAGGAGGCACTGAAGAAACCGAAACCCCTCAAATCAATTTAGCAGCTGAAAAAACAGGCTTGGCTCCTTGGCAAGATGGAGTACTGGAGAGGCTGAGAAAAGAGGTTCCTGTTGGGGAGTATAACATGTACTTGGTGCACCATGGAAGGATGCTCATTCATTTTGGTCAGATAGCTGCTTGCACCCCCAGAGAAAAAGACTTTGTATATGGAAACCTGGAAGTTCAGGAACTGAAGACTGAGACCACCTTCAGACCACCACTTAGTTATTGTGGCAAAAGAGCAAAGCTTGGGGATCCTGTGGCACAAAAAAAGCCAAGTAAGAGCATATCCCTGGATACTTCAGAGTTGGACATAGATCTTGAAGAACTTCCCAAATCAAATGAAATAAAAACTACACTGTTGTGTGCCCTTGAGAAGGAACTAAAAGGCCATGAGATATCTAAAATGAAGTCTATTGATGCCTTATATGTGGATATTGGGACTCAAACATACAACTTTGCTGCCCAACCTTTCTCTTCAAGAGCTGTTCTAGCAGATATTTTAGATACAAAAGACCCGCTGGATCTCCATTTACAGCTTCACAGTGAGAGTGTAACCCAAAGGTACAACAAAAGCAGCTCTGCATTTACATTCTCTTGCAACCACTTTTTTAGGAGAGATGAGTTCTCTTCACATTTCAAGAATGTTCATGCTGATATCGAGTCCTGCCTAAATGGGTGGTTCCAGCGTCGCTGTCCACTTGCCTATCTGGGGTGCACTTTTGTTCAATATCCTTGGCACCCTTCTGGGCAAAAGGCAAGTGTTATCTACAACCCACACCTTATGACATTTGCTGTCAAGCCAGAGATTGATCCTATGCTCTCAGAAGCAAAGAAAAGCAACTTTATCAGAAATAAACAAAGGAAAGAAAGGATTGTTCTAACCAGTCTTCCCTTGGAGATTCTGAAGTATATTGCTGGATTTTTGGATAGTGTTAGCTTGTCCCAGCTGGCCCAGGTATCAGTACAGATGAGGGACATCTGTGCTACTCTGCTGCATGAGAGAGGAATGGTTTTTCTGCTATGGAAAAAGAAGAGATATTCTCATGGAAGCACATCTTGGAGAGTCTGCGGAAAGGCAAGTGCTGGGGGTACTGAAAAGGGCAGAAGAATTAGCCAAATAGGAGGATTGATCGATATTTACATTGGGTTCTAAGTTAATAGATATTTTTAGCATTACAAAGTAATTTTAATTGAGCATGCACATACTGTAGTTTAAACAATCCTGTGACAAGCAGAATTGCACAATCATAGGATTTGACCTAAACATTTCAAATCAAGGGTCTCAGGATCACCAAATGACAGATTTCAGAATGATTGGCAAGAATCATAGGCAGCTGACTTTCTCTGATTTTCATGCTTTTGTGTTTTTACTCCATAACTGATGAATTTTGCAAGCCAAGTACTAGCACAGTCAGGTTCTGCCCACAACTCATGAGGTGATCCTCTCTATGTAACACTAGACTCCAAGCTCCATTTTCTGTCTCAGTGACAAATAGATATATATTGCTTAACTGTGGTACAGTAGGCTAGTAACAATTAAATGTAAGTGAACTACACTAAGAAAGGAAATAAATATGATAGGGCACTCAGACCAAATATATAATGGCTAGATAAATGAACTTAACCCAATCTAAGAGCCTTGGCTTATTAGCTGTATACAGTCATATTCTGATGAACAGCTTGGCAACTTGAATGTTAGCCCCCATCCTCATGATTCAGGCTTAATTTCTTCTCCAAGCAGACTTATCCCACTGTTTTCCATAGCACAAAACCCAGAGTAGAGTGAAAGAAGTCAGGATAATGCACAATTATGTCAGCAGTTCTTTCAATCAGCACAGCAAGGGTTGGAGTCCATTAGAGATCATGAGTAAAGAAAGGCTCTAAATGAAACATGTGTTTTCTATTCCTGAGAAAGGTAATCAAGAAAATAGTGGCCACAGAACTCCATATGAATCTGGACAGGCTTCTGTTCAGAATATGATACTGACGGTGTTTGGTGGATGACCTATACTGGATAGGTGGATAGGGTGTGGCCTTGCTAATTCTCTTGGAACGCTTTGTGGCTTTTAATACCTATGACCCTGGTATCTTTATGGACCAGCTGGCTTTGAGGTCTACTGTTAAGCTTTGAGGTCTATTGTTTTGCAGTGATTCCAGTCCTTTCTGTTCAGTCATATCCAGAAGAGGTTGCTGAGTAATTGCTATTTGAGAAGAGTTCATAAAAAGAGTATGTTGTTGTTGTTGTTGTTTAGTCGTTAAGTCGTGTCCGACTCTTCATGACCCCATGAACCATATTGCGCCAGGCCTTCCGGTCCTTCACTGCCTCCCTGAGTTTGCTCAGTTGCATCTCATTGCTTCAGTGATGCTATCTAACCATCTCATCCTCTGCCGTCCTCTTCTCCTTTT